GGCGGGGCGCGCACGATACATCACCCGCTGAGCCGCAAGCGCCCCAGCGGGTGCACGCCGCCGTGGTGCCGGCGGAGCGGCCCGCGGGCGCCGCGATAAACATCGACAGTCTGATGGAGACTGATTGGCTCAGCGAGACGCTGGGCGGCAGAGGTTGCTGACCGCGCGGACCCCACGCCTCGGCCGGCCGGGCTCAGCCGGGCTCAGCCACCGGGGGGTAATCGCTCACACTCTGCACACTTCTGCTTCCTCTCCGCCTTCTTCTTGCAGGGGAAGGTCCCACCCCACAACCCGAGTGTTAAAAGGTCGTGTGACGTCACGCTGTGAGAAAGAAAAGTGTGGTGCTATAGTGGGATTTTTTCCATCGAAGTTTTACTTTTATTTTGTCTCAAATAACTTGACTTGCGGCGAATACGTGTCGTGACGCCACTGACACCACACCAACCAAACCGCTTTGTGTGACCCTCAGAAAACGGTTAAATTTAGTGTAAATTTAGGATATATAGAGTATAAATTTATACCACATGTATCGTTTTCTGAGGAGAAGTTTAAAGGACTGCCACCTAGCGCCCGGCCCCGACCGGAGCCTGCACCGGAAACGCAACAGTGCGAATGTCGCACACTCGAAAGTGTGCGAATGCCGATCCGTTCACATATGGGAGTTTGATGATTGTTAAATTTTCCTTCAACAATTATCATAGCGCTGATGTTCCTTGTAGTCAAAAGTCGATATACCCAACTAAATTTTACACTACAATTAACGTTGACATGGAGAGGTATATGGTCACTCGTGAAGTTGACTATGCACATCTTAAACTTTCCCACTGACTTTAACAAGACACAAGTTATTTTAAGATTATCGAACGCGCACAACAGGAAGGCTTGCTTTCCCTTTGTGACCAGACCTACACTCCTCCCCCGGCGCTCGCTCGCTCGCGCTTGGCACTGTGTAGAGATAGATAACCGTATAATGAACGATATTGGCCTCGAGGTTGCCGCGCGGGATTACCTCACCACTCGGATATCGCAGAGATTCGCCCCGCCCCAGCCCTGCGCCCCGCCCCGCCCCAGCCCTGCGCCACGCCACGCCCGCTCCTGGAAACGGCTGCCTCACAATTTTGATCTTATCTCGCCTGCGGCGGCGGAGCCTGATCATTTGGCCCAGGCCACGCCCCGCCCCGCCTTGTTTTCCGATTGGAACGCCACTGCTACGCCGTTGTGCGCTGGTGTACGTGTGTGTGTGTGTGTGTGATATGGCACAGCTCGAGGTGTTCCCCAGAGTGCACGCCGCGCCGTGCCGCCGTGCCGCCGCCGGCCG